CATCATTGCAAAAGTGTCATGGGAATTTAAGGAAGTGTTTTCAACGATACTAGACAATGGATATCAATAAGAAAAAAAAGACCCTTGACTCCAAGTCACACAATACATTAAAATTTCAGATAGGGCCAGGGATTTAAGTCAGTGGTTCCGCCACCCGCCAAGGTCCTGAGTTCAATCCCTGGTACCAAAACCAAAAAATTTCAGATATGCCATAGACCGAAACATAAAAGCTAAAAGTGTACAACTTAGGTATGAAAATAGGGTTACAGTTTCATGAGTCATATAGGCAAAGACTCTAGAGAAAAAGAAATCATTAACCAAACTAAAAACTGAAAAATTGGAGTCACCACTAAAATGTAAAACTTTTAGGTATCTAAGTTGGAAATGAAAAAGTAAAATTTCATTTCACAGATGACGATCTTACAATCGAAAACCCTAAAGATTCCACACACGCATAAAAAAACTGCTATGGGATCCGGGGATTTAGCTCAGTGGTTTCACCTGCTGCGCAAGCAGCAAAGACCCGAGTTCAATCCCCGGTACCAAAAAAAACAAAACAAAACTGCTATAACCAATAAATGAATCCAGGTAACCTGCAGGATGCAACATAAACACACAAGAATCAGTCACATTTCTACATACTAACAATAATCCCAAAAGAAAATTTAAAAGCAATTCAATATATACAGTAGTATCAAAAAGAATAAAATACTCAGGAATAAACTAACCAAGAATACATAAAAAACATAAAAAACTACGAAGTACTGATAAAAAATTAAAGGAAATGCAAATCAAAACTACACTGAGATCCCATCTCACTAAGGTCTGATCAAGAATAGAGAGACAACGGCTAAAGGCAAGGAAAAAGAAGCCCTTCCACTACTGGAGGCAATGTGAATTAGTACAGCCAGTACGGAAATCTGCATGGCAGTTCCTCAAAAAATGAAAAACACCTACTACTGATCCAGCTGTACCACTCCCTGGTAATACCTGAAGAAATTCAAGGCAGCGTACTATTGACACCTGCATACCCAGGGTTATGCAGCGCAATTCACAATAGCCTGGGTATGGAACCAGCCTAGATGCCCATCAAAAGATGAATACAGAAAATGTGATAAATATGAACAATGGAGTATGATTCAGCCACAAGGAAAAATGAAATTCTGTCATTTGCGAGAAAATGGATGGGTCTGGATACCATCAAGTTGAGCAAAATAAGGCAGACCCAGATACATAAAAGCTGGGTGTGGTGGTGCACCCCTGTAATCCCAGCACTTGGGAAGCTGAGGCAGGAGGATCGCTGTGAGTTCATGGACAGCCTGAACTACAAGGTGAGACCCTGTCTCAAAAAAAAAAAGAAAAAGAAAAAACACATATTGCATGTTCTAATATGTATGTGGAATCTAAAAAAGAAAGATGACAAGAAAGTAGAAGGGAGATTATTATTGTATAAGAGAAAGGAAATGAGGGAAGGGTGTGTAAGACAGGTAATGGAGGAATGGATAAAAGCAAAATATTGCCAGGCATGGTGATGCACACCTGTCATCCCAGCACTTAGGAGGCTGAGGCAAGAGGACTGCTGAATTTGAGGTCAGCCTGTACTACAAAGTGAATTTAAAGCCAGCCTAAACTACACAGCAAGACCCTGTCTCAAAAAGAAAAAAAGGCAAAATATTATTACATTGAACTCCCTCAGTGTGAAACTAGGGTGGGGGACAGGGCACAGAGAGCAATGGAGAGAGTGAAAATGAATGAAGTACATATGTGCATGTACAAAATGCCAAACTGAAACCATTAATCTGTGTGATAAGGAAGAGTGAAAAGGTAAAAAATAAAGGACATAAATAAGCGGAAAATCTCATGTACATAGATTATTAAGCTGACAACACTCCCCCAATAACTGACAGATTCAAGGCAATCCCAAGCAAGATCCCAATAGCGGCTGTGGCAGAAATAGAACATCTGCTCCAAATTGGAAGAAAGCCAGGACAGTGGTACATGCCCACAGCCCCAGTCACTAGGGAGTCTTGAGCTGAGCCAGGGAGTCTGCTACACTTCAGCTCTAAATTGTCCTCCAAAAGTTCATGGGCCCACGGGCGGGGCTTCCCCAATCTCTTGCTTCATCAGCGATCGCTCCATCCATGAGACTGGAACTTGGCTGCGTTCCTGGGAAGCAGTGGACACTCAGGAGGTGGGGGCATGACCCTGGGGACTGTATCCTGTCCCTGGCCCTTCTGCTCTGGCTCTTTCCCTCAATTCAGCTTCCTAGCTCGACAAGTGGCTCTGCCCCACCACGTCCTTCTGTCACTACAGCCCTGTCACCTTAGCCCCTCATCAGTGGACCCTACTGACCATGGACACAGACCTCTGAAAGTGTGTGCCAAAATAAATCTCTCCTTCTTTGAGTTGTTTTTCCAGGTATCTTGTCACAGTAATAAAAAGCTAACAGATCTGGCAACATCTCACAACAGAAATGGGGGAGAGGACTGGGGAGGTGGCTCAGTGGCAGAGTGCGTGCACAAGGCCCTGGGTTCAGTCCCCAGAGCCACACACACACAAGGACTTTCAAGATACTCCAGGTAGCTAAAACAACCTTGAAAATGACAAACGAAGTTAGAGGACTCAATTTCCTGCTTTCAAAACTTAGGACAGAGCTACAATAATCAATACAGAGTGAAACTGACATAAAGACAAACACTTAAACCAATGTAACAGAGTAGAGAGCCCTGAAATACACTCTTACATATGTGGGCAAAAGACTTTTGAAAGGTGTGCCAGGCCCATTCAATGGAGAGGACCATCTGGTCAACCAGTGGTACTGGGAAAACGACATCTACATTCAAAAGAATGAAGCTGGACCCTCACCCAACACTATATACAAAATTAACCTAAATATACGGGCTGTAACTAAAAACCCTTCGAAGGAAACAGAGAAGGGAAGCTTCACAACTTTGGATTTAGCAATGATTTCCTGGGTATGACGACAAAAGCTCTGGCAATATGAGACAAAACAGGTAAACTGGGCTACACCAGTAGTAAAAATGGCATCAAAGGTTACAATCAACAGAATGAAAAAAAACCACAAAATGGGAGACTGACAGTACCACATGCTGACAAGAATGTAGAACAATCAGAACTTCAAACTTCTCTATAACCACGTCAGAAAACTGAATGGTATTTTCTTTTCTTTTTTTTTTGGTACCAGGGATCGAACTCGGGACCTTGTGCTTGTGCAGCAGGCGGCAAAACCACTGAGCTAAATCCCCAGCCCTGAATGGTATTTTCAAACGGTTAGACAGGCATCTACCCTATGACTCAGAATTCCCACTCTTGGGTATTTAGCTAAGAGAAACGAAAACATCTGTCCTCCAAAAGCCTCGTACAAGAATGTTTGTAGCAGCAGTATTCATAGCAGCTTTGTTATGGCTTGTATCTAGAAGTCCCCCCAAAGCCCCATGTGGTCATGGGTAGGGCTTTTCAGAGGAGGCTGGGTCTGGAGTGTGTGCTGCTGGGACTGATTCACGGTGCAACACTAGGACTAAGGGTGAGTGCTACCCTCCTGGGTAAGACAGAAGGGACAGAAAGAGCTGTGGTCCTGGCTTGTCATTTGTAGCTCCGTGCCTTCTGCCTTTCGCCTGCCATGGACTGTTTCTCCCCTGCGATGCCTGTCTGCCATGCCACCCTGCCTCGGAACCAGCTGACTGTGGACTGAAACCTCTCCAAACTGTGAGCTAAATAAAGCTTTCCTCCTTTAACTTTGAGTGTTGGGTATTTTGTCTCAGCACCAGACAAAATCACCAAGACAAGCCTCAAACAGGAAATACCTCAAGTAGCCATCAACAGAAGAATAAATTACAGTATATATCCACATACTCAACTACTACTCCACAATAAAAGGAACAAACTAACACAACACAAATGAATCTCAAAACTATGGTAAGGAAAAAGCCAGACATCAATGTGCATATGCGCTGAGCCCATTTTTTCAAAGTTCTAGAACAGGCAAAAGTAATCTGTGATGATAAACCTGAGAGCAGCTACTTTGGAATCAGCTGGATAGGGACACAAAGAAATCTGAGGGATGCAAAATCACCCTAGTAGGGATGCAGATTACATGTAGGGATCCATCAGAACTGAACGAAGTGTACACTTCAGATCTGCATTTCACTTAAAAAATCATACCTCAAACTTTTTTTAAAAAAGAAAGAAAAGTGGTTGGTTATAGGGTTGTTTCAACACAGCTGTTGAAAGCAATGAAAAGTAGTCCCCTTCTGCTGTGTCCACGCTCACCAAAGTGTTAATGAAACAAAAACAACCCTACTTGCCACCTAGAACTGCTATGGAGATGGGAGGGTTTCTGTGGCAATACTGTGGAAAGTTAAATACCATGTGATGCTGGGGAAATGAGACATAGCAGGGTAAACATTTCTGCCCCTCTGTAACTCTGCAGGGCCACATCTACCTTCAGACTTCCAGATAAGGTCTTTCCATACCTATCTGGCCCCCAGGAGAGTACCTGCAATGAATCGAGGCTACTCTACAAGCCTCCAGACTGCCTCAACAAACCTTTTTCCAGGGCCCGTCCACTGAGAGCAGAGCCAACGATCACTACATGACTGCACTTACAGGGCGGGGGGCAACTGAAGAAGGGAAGAGCCGGGGGGCTCACGAGCTGGCCAGCTTGGGGACTTCCAAGCACAGGGCACACTTGCTTTCTGCCCACCTCCACCTCCACACAGGGGACGCTGCCAGGTGACAACCATGACTGACTTCTGCAAACAGCAGCAAGAGAAGGGAAGGACTCCTGCCTCAACAGACCCAGGCTGTTCCTGGTAGGTTTCCCTGTGACACAGGCTCTGCCACCTGTGGGACAGGACACGGGGACAGGACAAGGGTCCCCAAAGTAACCAAAATCTTAGGTGACAAACTGAGAGCAGGAGCCAGTTACTCTGGAGTTCCTCCACACCCCGGGGAGCCAAGCAGACAGCCCGGCGGCTTACCCCTCATTGGAGCGGACCATGTAGTCAGTAAACTCTGGGTCATCCTTGATCACCTTCAGGGGGACCACGAGGTTGACGTCAGAATCGGTGTTCCGAAGCTGGTTGAGTTTCATGTTCACCGAGAAGAGGTACTCGCGAACATCATCTGTCCCCACCTTCAAGCCCTTGCACACCACGTACCTGCAGGGGACCTCCTGTCACTGCACGAAGCAAAGGCTTCTTCCCTGCGTCTACCTTCCCCTCAACCCCTTGGAGAGCCACAAGCCAGACAGTCTCTGTTCAATCTTAGGTTTATGCTCAAAGAACAGCACAGACTCGGCTGCACTCACCTCAATCCTGTCTTTGTATGTGAGGCTGCATCTCTCCCTGTGCTACTTCCCAGGGGTCTGCGTCAGACCACGCCTCAAATCACACCCTGGAGTCTGTTAGTTACAGACCTGGTGGATGGACTCCACAGATAGCCCAGAAGCATGTGTTTCTAACAAGCTGCCTGGCAATTCTGACGGGCTGCGTCCTCTCCCCCTTCACGGAGCACTGTCCCCCACCTGGGATGCCACCAGTGCCTCTGGATGGCAACCTCAACTCTGCCCAGCTTGTGTCCCTGCAAGTGTCCCTATTATTGGTCATTTTCCCGGACCAAGCCCCAAATCCCCCACAGAAGCAGGGAGACAAAGGCAAAGGCTGGTGCAGCTTGGGCCCACCCAGACCCAAGAATCCTGGCTCTAGCGGCTCTAACACATGCCGTAGGATTGCCACTACTGCTCTAATCCCATCTTTAAAGTCCAGGTTCTCAGAGCAGAATAAGAAGCCACGACAGGGAAAGGCTCGGATCTCCTGCTCTGACGTGCAGACCACAGGCCTGGCAGCGCCAGGGAGGACGGCCTCACCTCTCAGAGTTGGCAGGCCGGCTGGTAACGGGCTTGAAGAGACACACACGTTCAAAGCAGCAGTACAGCAAGTAGATGAGCCCCACGCTGAAGGGTGTGAAGAGGTCGAAGGTTTTACAGATGAAGTGGCCTCCTGGATCGGAGAGAAAACAGCTGCAGCGTCAGTGGGAAAGCCATGCCCTGCTGCAAAGAGGACTAGGGTTAGGAGGCAGCGCGTGACTGCTGAACACCAGAGGCAATGTACAGGACAATCAGCTTTGGAGGGGACCTTGGAGAGGCCACCGTCTGTTCTTCCCCAGATTCCTCCTTTCGCCACCTGTCAACTGACACCAGCTGTTTCTTAGGTTTTGCTCTTTTTAGCCCCCCACCCAACTCCTGTGCAGGCTGTTATCTGACAGGGCCTCCAGGGATCCCGAGGTGAGGAGACAGCTAAAGAAGTGTCACCTGTGCGGACAACAGACAGTGCCATGAGGAACTGGCACAGCAGCAGCTGCTTGCTGAGGATCTCCTGCAGGTTCTCCTGCCCCTCCACAGAGAAGCCCTAGAACCAGAGAAAAGGGTCAGGGTGAAGAGAGAAACAGTAAGGACTGAGGATAGCACCCCTGCCTCATGTTCACCAAGAGTCCCTCGGGTGTTTCCACCACTCCCCGCCAGCCTGCTGATAGACACAAGGTCACTGGCTGGTGGGGGGAGTGAGTCCTGGGACCATCGCTGACTGTGGAACCGGGGCACTTTCCTGCACACCGCCCCGAGGGATAAGACAGCCTGCTCTTCCAGGGAAGATACTTGGGAGGCTGGCAGGCAGGAAGACTGCCACCAGTCCAGAGAATGTCTAAACTGGCGTGGGAATCCAGGCAGAGCAAGGCGAACATACGCAAGGTACAGGTCAGTCACTGGTCAGGAATAAGGCCCGGGGAGTAAGTGTGGGGGGAATTCTCTACTTGGCTCACTAAGCCACTGTGCTGACCACCAAGAGGCCCTCTCTAGAGATGGAGAAAAGTTAGCGCCAACAGATAGTCACAGGAGTCTTTGTGTTGGCCGAGGATTTACTTACAGTCCTTCCCCGTCCTCTCCCAAGAGCACAGCGCCTCTTCCTGGCCAGGGTGTCCGCTCAAAGCGCGTGCTCCCACCCCGAAAGTGGTTCCCTCCCAGGAGTCCACAGAGAGCAGAGAGCTGAGATCCAAACTCACACAGAAGTGGGGAGCAGGGGAGTTGTTCAATAGGTACAGTGTTTCAGTTTTGCAAAAGGAAAAAGTTTTGGAAAATCCGTTGCACAACAGTGTAAATATACTAAACACTACTCAGAAATGGTTAAGATGATACATTTTGTTTTAGGTGTTTTTTACAATTAAAAAAAAGTAGTAGAAGGAGGATGGTTCTATTAAGCCAATTCAGGTCAGGTCTCCCTGATTCAGGCCTACAAAAATTAACAGCTAAACAACTCAGAATCAAAAAATGCTTAGCAATAAAAATTTTTCTTTTAATGTCTAGCAATGTCTTCCAGACATAGCTACTTCTCAAAATGCATGCCTGTTTATAGGGGCCACCCCTCCTCCACAGCAGCCCCAGCGCCCAGCCCTCTGTTCCCTGCCGTGCCCATGCCCTGGGAGCCAGGCATCTTCAGACCTCACTAACACCCCGCCCGCCTCCCTACAGCACCTGGAGAGGATCGCCCGAAGTCCTCCCTCAGCTCCTTCCATCTCTGGCCAAGTGTCCCTGGAGCAACTGCTACACTTTCCTTTCCCAGACTAAGTGGTGGCTCACTCCAGAAAGCACTCCCTGCCCTGTGGTCGCAGTCACCGGCACAAAGCTGTGTTGGGCTCCTGCTCCACCTCAAGCAGCTCCCCACAAAGCCCCTGAATATTCACTTCAGCCTCCCTGGGTTCCAGAGCTGCTGCCTTCGTTAAGTGGCCATCTGTAGGCCTCTAGAGGCTCCAGTGGGGCCATCCCAACAGCCTCCACCAGGAGCAACACCAAGGTGCCAAATGGCAATACAAGTCCCACTCGGTTTTGCCTCACTGATTTTAGTCACAGTCCATATCTCAGGTGGGCTCATAACCAACCAAGGCCCTTTAACAAGGGAGCTAAGCAGTTCCATACTGCTCCAACGAGGGGGGTCCGATTACTGCTGTTACAAAATTACAAAGATTGTACTGGGTGTGGTAGCGCACCTCTGTAATCCCAGCACTTGGAAGGCTGAGGCAGGAGGATCACCCCCAGTTCAAGGCCAACCTGAGCTACAAAGTGAGACCCGGTCTCAAAAAAACAGTATTAAAAAAATGTAATTAATTAACAAATCCCTAATCCCCCACGCTATGGAAAAAAGGTCACCTACCCCATCGGCCATCAGAAAGTGGACACCTTTGCGGTCTGTGTTGTCCAGGACAAAGTTCCGAAAGGCAGCGATGTTGTCTGGGCGGGTGATATCTCCATCTCCATCAACCCCACCCTCACCTGGCAGGACACAAGGTTCACAGTGAGTTCACCCACCTGGAACACCCCAGGAGCTGGGCCAGTGACTATAGACCCAGGGCTCCCCCTGCAAGGCTGCCTTATCAAGACGGGGCAGAAGGAGAGTCCAGAGCTGACCAGCCAAGAGTCGGAACCGAAGCAGAGGTGTCTCAAGCACCTATGCTCAAAAACCAGTATCAACTTCTTACTGAGGTCCCTGAAGAAAGGACTCAGGGTTTGCTAGCAGATCACAAGAATGAGATGGAGCAGATGGACCGCCATGGGGCAGCTGAGCTGTCTGCCTCCCAGCGTGTTCCACACTGGGTGCACAGGGCTGCAGATGGGCACGGTTTGTGCTGGTAATAACCCTGCCAGTTCCCAGCCAGAGACCGGGCAGTTTCATTATCTCCTCTCACAGGAAAGAGTGCTCCAGCAAGGAGAATGAATATGGCTTTGATGAGAGTTTACCTAGCCAAGTGTTTAACCTGTGGCTGCAGGCCTGAGGTAAAAAGGGACAGTCCAGAGCAGTGGTGGACAGCCTATGGCACATGCGTCCCAGCAGGCTGTTTCTATCACTGCATGCTCTAAAAGGTCTGCCATCACTGGTCCAGGGGAACCAAGATCCTCAGAACAGGACCGCAACCCCAGGCTGCGAGGCCTAGGAAAGGGTGCACAGCTTTCCCCGCGGCCCCCCACAGGCTGTGCCACACCCCCGAGCACCCTCCCTGCCCAGGTCCCTACCGTAGTACGGCTCGAAGAGCTCACTGGAGGCCGAGTAGAAGTCCTCCAGCTTGAAGTCATTGGGGCCCCTCAGAGTCATCCCAAAGCCCTTCGCGTGCCACTTCTTCTTCCACAGCACATACTCAGAGAAGCCACCAGGGCCTGCGCACACGTCAGCAAAGTACAAAAGCTCAGCGTTCCGGTCCTTCACCAGGGGCAACTGTCAAGAGCAAGTGGAGGACAAGGAGAAAAGGGGGAGGATGGTTCGATGAGGAACGGGGAGAACACAGGAGAGTAAAGCCTTTCTGAAGGCACAGTCCAGAGCTCCTGCCAGGGCCGCAACACCCAGAACATGGTCCTCTGTGACCTGCACCCTCGGGAGTTGCCCAGCTCACCCCAAAACGCCCCGAACACCTTCCATACCACCAGGCCTAGCTCAGGCTCCCAATGCTTCACTTGAACCAGAGGGGCATTTTATTCCTTGAGGTCTTTTCCTTGCCAGCTCCCAGCTCCTGCATGTCCTATCAAGCAGGACAGCTGCTGCCTGCCCCCGTTCAGACAGGGGAAAGAGGCACCGAGACAGCAAGTCTGCAACACAGCTGGCCTGGCCTTCGGACTCAGCTCTTCCGACAAACCCGTGTGGGGCTCCCCGCGCCCCTCCCAGCCACAGGACCTGCCTCTCTGAACCACAGCCTCTCCTCTGCCTTCCTTTCCCTTTCTCCCCTGACTCCTCACCCTCCCCCAGCCTCTCAATTAAGTTTTCATTTTGGAATAATTTTAAAGAAAAGTTGCCAAGCTAGTGCAGAGTTTCTACACCCATTTCCAGTTTTGTTAGCACCTTATATAACCATGGTATGTTCATCAAAACAAAGAAACCAGCACAAGTACATTACTATTAAAAGTGAACTCCAGACATCAGATTTCACAGCAGCCTTTTTCTGCCACAGGATCTGACCTAAGACCCACGTGGCATTTGGTCTCTGTTTTGTCCTCCCTTCCTTCCGATTGTGCCTCTTCCCGGTGCTAGCCAGGCACACAGAGGAGATGCTGGGGTGCAAAACAACCATCAGCACCCTCACATACCTCAGGAATGAATCAACCAAAAGAATCATTTCAATTTTGATTTGATTACATTTTGGGCCCCTCAAGTAGCTTTATCTCTTGATCCCAAACTGATGCCGGACCAGCACTGGCTGTATACCCTCCACTACAGAGAGGATGGGCCGTGCATGGTGACAACAGGAGTGGGTAACCACAGAGGACTATGGTTGGCCTGGGACCATGACGAACATTCCTCAGGAAGGACCTAGGGACCTCAGCCTTCCCTCCACAGACTGGGCATACAGAGTTCTGCCACTGCTACACAAAGACCAGAAAGCTTCAGGGGAAAGCTGTAACAGAGACTGACTACTAATGTTCTACAGGGGTCTTAACTCTGATGATAGCTACCCAGCTCTATCAAAACAGCAGAAAAGTTGCTTGAGAAAGTGACTTCGGCTAAAAATAAACTTCATCATCCTGTGACGAGCCTGCCTGAGGCATGCTGGGACATATCAGCTCTTTCCCTGCTCCCTCGATACTCCACCCCAGCATTCTTTGTTCCTGGGCCATTAATTATTCTTATTTTTGGATTATAAAGACCTAATGGCACTTCCCAGTCAGCACAGTGGTGATGAGGCAGCAGTCACATGCTTAGCCCTCACACACTGTGAAGATGGGAAACAACATCTTCACAATGAGGGTGGCTCAGCCTGGCTCTGGCTGCTCTGGGCCAAAGGCAGTCTAGAGGCAGGCAGGTGAATTAATGGGGGCATCTCCCCTTCTGTAAGGTGACCTAGGTATGATTTCATGCTATGAGTTCCAGACCTGTGGCCCACGAGCCATGGCCAAGAGTCTGTGACAGAAGGGACAAGTGGGGCGCTCAGCTCTGCCTCGCACTGGCTGTGCAGTCTCTGCCAGGCACACAACTTCACTCAGTAGCTCAAGCTTCCTTAGCGTGGATCGGGACTCACATGACTACTGCTCAAGGCTTCTGTAGGATTAAGGCATCCTCAACTGTAAAGTATTCAACAAACTTAAGATGATACTATATTCAACTAGAACAACCTCCTTAGAGTCAAAACTCTTGTTCTTTTCCCTATTTTACTCTTTCCTATGCCTGTAAGTGCTAATTTCCTCTGAAACAGGACAAAGATGGACATTTGGTTTGTCTTGTTACAGTATCTCCCAATGTTTTCTTACCCCAACAACTCCCCAGGCACACAAATCCCTCCCACAATGTAACAGATTCTAATATGCTTCCATATACCCCACGATCTAAATTCCTTTCCTTGTTTCTTCCAATTCTTGCACACAATTTCTTTCTTTTCTGCCCCTGGTCTCTTCCTCCTTTACCGCTGCATGCAGCATCAGAGACCTTTAAAAAGCCTCACAACGGCCCGCCGCCCACCCTCTCCACATGCCCCTATGTTCAAATTCTCTGCTTCTCAGTCTGATCTGGCTGACCCCGCAGCCACCAAGACCCAGCAAGCCCAGTGCGAGCCTGCCCACCTCTGCTGGGAACTGCTCTGGAGTCTTTGCTGGCCTGAAAAAAACACCGGGCCTGCTGGGCTTGGCTGTCACTCCAGTCCTCAGGGGAAAACAGAGATGAAAAGAGAGAAGAAAATACTCAGGGCTTGGGAGAAATCACTTTTTATAGCAGAGTGCAGAGAAACGCCTCTGAAAGGGCAATTCTCCGTGGCCACTAACAATCAATTCAGGTCAAGAAGCTGCCTGGAGTGCCACAAACACAGCCACTCTTCCCTTGTAACTAACATCTCCACCCTCGACCTGAATGGTACAATCCTGGTACCTACTTCATTTTCATGACAGCAAAAGACAATAACCAGATACCAGCTGCTGGAGGTGTTCACGTTCAAAAGCCCAAAATGATGCTGTGACTTCCCATCAGCTTAACAGGCTCCTCTGCCAGGCAGGGGTTTAAAGGAAATCATCGGGAGCTTGGAAAATTAAATCAACATTATATCAACCTCATTTTCTCAAGATGCTAATTCCAAGAGCCCTTTTATGCTGCCTGCTGATCCTAGAAAATGGGGAGGTAGTCCTGGGAAAGAAACATGACCAAAGGCTGGAGGGGCCGGCACGCAGTTGTGCCAGCACAGAGGAGGCGGTTCATGGGGGGCGGGGGGGCGCTGAGACAGTGAAGAACTTGGAAAGAAGTTTCTTTAGCCGGTGGGAAACCAGGGGCCTGGCGCGCAAGGGTGAGTGAAGCAGAAACAGGTTCGGGGGCAGCTGGCTCCTGGCCCTGTCACTGTCAAAGAAAACTAACTTTCCAGGACTGGATAAAAACGCTTTCAAACCCGGAAGGGAATTTTACAATGAAATTTCCCTTTTTTTCTTTCCCTGTCATTATGGAGTGTCAAAGTTTAGAGAAATGAGATGTAGCAGAGGACAAAATCATTTTGCTCCCCACTTCCTCAGAAAGGCCAAAGCCTCATAATTACAATCTCGAATAAAGATTGTTCAGAGAAAGAGAAAGCAGCCCCTTGGAAATCACAGGTCTCACAGCTGGAGTCGATCTTTGCCCTGCCAGCCACTCCTGGGACCATGGCAGCACTGCAGGACTCTGGGGAGCTGAAAGCAAAACACATCCAGACTGCAGGGCAGGACTTGCTCCTAGCACTGAACAAATGGCCATCTCGGAGCCACTGAAGCTTCAGCCCCTCAGCACCATGAATCCTCACCCCACTGGAGTCCCGGGGATTTGTGAACATGCGATCAAACACAAAGTCCATGTTTGCCATCTTCATCGCTGCCCTGCAACAAAGCAAGACAGAGAAGCGCGACTCAGTTCTGGATGTACAGAGAGCTGAGGCTGACACGAGAGGTGGCGCAGTGCATGTCGGAAGGAGGAGGAGGAGGGAAAGGTCAGCAAACCTGTTGAGGAAGAAGACTCCTCGGATCATCTCGTAGGGATTGGCCCGGGTCCGAGCTCGCCGCATCTCCTCCCCATCCAGGACATCAAACACGCTCTGCCCAGAGATCAGAAGCCCAGGTGAACATCATCCCAGTCCCTCCGGATGGGCCAGGGGTCTTCAACACTGGCAGTGCCTGACTCACAGCCCTCTAGAAGCTGGGCTCCTACTTCACTACACTCTGAAATTACCTGTGTGACCCATGACAAGCTGCTCATCACTGTGACCTTCACCTCCCTCACCTGTGAAGTGGTAAAAAACCAAACAGAGGCACATGCTGCTGCACATGAGGCTGCCTCTTGGTATCGCTAATCCTCACAGCAAATCACCACCCCAAACAGCAGCAACTGGCCAGGAACCCAAGCTCTGATGCTCAGGCTCACCTGACGGGGCACGCCCGGAGAGACAGGACACAAACCAAGGCTGGGGTTTTCTGCGGCTCCTCCCACACATCAGAGGGTCCTCTTCCCCCTCCGGTTTCCTCACTTCCCCCAAGCCCTAGTCACCTTCTAGATATTCCTAACCCCACATCTGCCAAAAAGTAACTCTGCAAGGCTGGTATGAAGCCTTGTTTCTCCATCCATTTCCTCCCCAGTTTCCCTGGCTCATTCTGCCCCAGGCACAGGCTTCCTGACCCTCAATCAGGCCAAGAAGTGTCCCAGGGAGGCCACACTTAACAGGGGCTTCACACCCTATATTTCATTTAAACTCCTAGAGCATCCAGCAAAGTATTTTCTCCCCACTTTGTAGTTGAGGAAACTAAAACTCAGAGATGATGAGGCACCTGGCCCAAGGTCACACAGCAAAACAGCTGCAGATAAGCCTAGGGTTTGAGTCCAGGTTCATCTGATGGTAAAAATACACCAGGCCCCCTGAGGATTGCAATAAACTGACCACTGAGACTAAGGGACAGCACACTTCACAGCAAGGCAGTCACGAGGGAAAAGATGCCTCACAGATAGGCAGCAGGATGTGATGCACCCCATCATCAGGACACAGCCTAGCTGTGCACCTCCACAACTGACAGCAGGGAAAAGTGGAAAGGCCCAGCCAGGCACTCACAGGGCTGCACAGGCCCAGCAGGCCTCACCTTGCACTGCAGCATGCTGTGCAGCAGTTCCGCCCCACAGAACTGCGTCTCATCTTCAATAGTCATCTTTCTCTAAAGGAAGAAGAAACCATAAATAATGACCGAGAGTGACTGGAATGGGGTGATTGCAGAGATTCGGGTTCTGACTAAGCAGAGCAGGAGGGCTCTTGAATCCCTCCCAAGAAGTCTCAGTCCCTGAGGGCTGGGAGAGAGACAGTCCTAAGCTCTCCAGCTGTATTCCAGATGGCTCCAAGACGAAGGGTCCCCAGGGAGCTCGGAGGAGCGCACCATATGGACACCAGCTCGAGGATGCTGAGGCTGGGAAAAGCAGACAGGGAGGAGACCCCAGCAGCCTGTGCCTGGGGTGGGGGACTGTCCTTCAACCAGGAAGTCCCACTCCCCAAGAGAAGAAGGTGCACTATTGAAAACCGAGGCTCAAAAGCACCTCATGGGGGTCAAGTTGGCCCCAGTCTGAGTGAGACAACGACCTCTACACCGATGATGCCAAGCTCTGTGCTCTCAAGTTTTATGCACCTCACAAATCACTGCAGGGGCTGGGGTGAAGTTCGGGGTAGAGCACCCGCCTTGAGGGTGCAAGGCCCTGGGTTCCTTCCTCAGTGCTGCAAAAAAACCCACTAAGGACTCCAAAGAGTTTTTGTGTCTGTGAGTTAGACACTAACGTTTATTAGAACAAATTAAAATGATATATAAATATATATATATAAATTTTTTTTTTTTTTTGGTACCGGGGATCGAACTTGGGACCTTGCACTTTAGAGGCAGGCGGTGGAACCACTGAGCTAAATCCCCAGCCCATAAAATGATATTTTTGATATTTATTTCAGCTTAAAAAAGCAATATGCTATATTAATATAAATATTTGTACAAGAAGAACCCTATTTTTAAAAAAAACAAATTTACTGAGGAGAATAGTTCTATTTTCCATTTTGTAAATTTCTTCAATGTCTGGCTTAACAGAGTAAGGCTAGATTCTCTTCCCTGCTTTCGCCTTTCAGTCAGTTGTGGTGCCACATGTCGTAACCCTCGGGAAAACTCCAATGGACACCTGTGGAACGATGGGAGTGAAAATGGCAAGCAGCTTCTCAGTGTCATGAGGAAGACAGCCTCATCCTTGCAGAGCCTCCGACAGGATCGTGGCCACTCCACGAGGCCCTCCACTCTGAGAGCAGCTCTCCAGACTGCCCTGATTTTAGTAGCCACCTACCTTAGTCACACATTTTCCAGAATGAGGTTAAACAAATTCCCTAAATTCCCTCCATAATAATCCCGTTACTTTCTGAGGACAGGGACAGTGTCTTTTCATCTACCTGGAACGGTGCCCAGCAGGGACCAGGATATATACTGACATGTAACAAGCCACCCCAAAAAGCATCCACAAGGAAGGGACAGAGGATATGTGTTTCATCTGCCTTGCAAGTTAAATGAGTAGGAAGGAAAACCTTGCCTGCCACAGCTCCCCAGCTGGACAAACAGGCATATTTGTAGAGCCCTTGACATTCTGTCGACACAGCTTCATTCCTATTGGAATGATCCAATTCACTTTTTTTTTGAGGAATGGGGGATTGAACCCAGGGCCTTCACACTAAGTTACTTTCCCAGACCGTTTTTGAGACAGGATCTCGATAACTCACTAAGCTTTCCAGGCTGGGCTTGAACCTGGCAATCCTCCTGCCTTAGCCTCCCAGGCTGCTGGGATTCCAGGCATGCACCACCATGCCTAGCCACACTTTTCTCACATTGCAAGTATATTTACACATTGCAATTAAGGAGAAAAAAAGTCAGCAGAAAACCAAGAGGTTGGGGCACATTTTCCTGAAATCATACCTTTCCCACAACCATCCAATCACTCATTTCTTGAGTGTCAGGAATTTCCGTGGTACATTCTGGGAACCATGACACCTGCTCACAGGCACTGGGCTACAAAACAAAGAAAGGCAAGAAAATCAGTTAAGTCAGATCTTTGGATCTCTGCTCCAACTCATCAAAATAACTGGGAAACAGTTGTGCCCCAAAACAACCCAGAGAAACTCAGACTGAGGAGGGTCCATGATGCTGAAGCCAAGTGCAGTGACCGGCCATGAAAAGTGAGAGCCAGGACTGTGAAGTCCGACTCCCAAAGGGCAGCTCCAATTCTGCTCCATGTCCTTAGAAACTTTCAAATCCTCACGGTTTCTTCCATTTGTTCCAATATTATTTGATGCATGGCTACCATGTGCTCAATGCTCGGAATATAGCCTTAATAAGACAGATCCCATCACAGCTTCTACCTAGCTTCCCCAGAGCCTTGTGGGGGGGCACTTTTGGGAGGTGACTGGATGTGGGCGTGTGATACTGGATCAGTCCACTGACGGGTGTACAGCTGGGTGTGATGCTGGGAGGTGAAGCCTGGTGGGAGATGGGTCACTGTGGTGTGGTCCGAAGCTGGATATACAGTATATATCTACACGTATCTGTCCTGTCTTGAGCACTTGCTGCTTCTGTCCACCCTGCCATGGACTGTTTCTCCTCTGTCATGTCCCTCAGCCACACTGCCTGTCTTGGAACCAGCTGACTACAGTCTGAAACCTCTATAAACTGTGAGCTAAAAGAAACCTTTCTTCCTTTAACTTGTAGGTGTTGGATATTTTATCCCAACAATAAGAAAAGACAGATCCCTAGCCCAAGGGGTTTAAAATCAGAACAATGAGGACACAGAAATAAGCAGGTTGCTGTCACATACAATGGAAGTCTACAAAAAGGCAAGGACATCAGGAAGACTTAAGGCCTGTGAGTCTCACCTCCTGATGCCTTTCAAAGTGCTATTCACAACCTATCCCAGAAACTTAAAACAGTATTCCTCCTCCATCGATTCCAAGACAGGCCAGAAAGTGGGACTGCAATGGCTGCTTCCTCTTGATTTTTCCATTACTTTCCCTGATAGGCAAACGCAGGGGCTCACTGTGGTTGCACATTACAATCTCCTGCACAGCTTTCAAAGGTCCTGATGCCTGGGCCTCACCTCCAGAGTGACGATTCTGCTGCTCCAAGATGGGGTCAGGGTACATGTTTTTAAAGTTCCAGGGGATTCTACTGCGAATCCAGGACTAAGTACCCTGGGCTAGAGAGACGTGCATTATAAAGCTTAACCAGATGGCTGACCTGCATGGCAGCATCACAGATTGCCTCCCAAGCAAGTGTGGAGAGGAGATTCACCATTGCAAATTGAGGCAATGTGATTAAAGGTAATACTGCATGCTCTGAAAGGCATAAAATGGTACCACAATGCAAGGTCTTGAGGGCAGGCCAACTGGCATCAACTGAGAAAAGTTGAAAAGAAAAATTACTGAAGCCTTTTGTCTATGAATCTGGTAGTGAATCATGGCTTCTCCTGGTCAAATCCATCACCTTTAAGCATAAATGTGAATTATAAACTATAGAAAAAAGAAGTGCATATACACTTTATCAAGTGGATATAACTCAACCTCCCAACAGCAGTCCGCACGATGAGGCTGCCTGTAGTGTACACATTGAGGGTCAAACCTTAAACTCCACAGTCCTGGGCTGTGGACAGCGAGGCTCTCCCTGCAGCGACCCCAGGAGTGGACAATCACCCTCACCTCAGGCCACCCAGACCCAAGTGCCCTAAAAAGTGGTTACCAACTGATGGTAGGGCCAAACTCTTACTTAGCAGGCATCTGTAAGAGAAAAACTGAATTATGGTAAAAGGTAATGGGGACAGCCTCACCCTAGTCTATCTCCATTAAAAGCTTCAGATTTGGGCTGGGGATTTAGCTCAGTGGTTCTGCCGCCTGTCTTGCAAGCGGAAGGATCCGAGTTCGATCCCCGGAACCAAAAAAAGAAAAAAACTTCAGATTTAAGTTTAACAAAGTTCATTCAAATTCTGCCCCACTGAAAGCCTCCAGATGCAGCGTACTTGTTTTCAGATGGCCGAGGCCAGGACTAGGTACAGTATTTTCGGCAAAAGCCTACATCTAACCACCAATCCCAAGTCTTCAGCTACTCTGCAGTCCCATCTGCTCCTCTGCTGGCCTCATCTCCTCACAACCAAGGCAGCCAGCAGGAACACCGCAGGCCCACTGCAGACCCCTGGGGGGACTGTCACAATCCCACTCTGAAGCCTCATGAGGCTTCCATCACATGCACCTCCCTCCTGAATTGGAACACCAGGGAGACAAGCAACAGCCATTTCCCAGTGTTCAAGAGACACATCTCAAACTCAGCTATAGCAACCACGCACAGGCCTCCATATTTGTGTTCTATTTTCCACAGCCTTGACTCTGAAATGGGGATAACTCAACGTTATTTTTAGGTGCTTTTATTATTACCTACATCAGCTCCTTTGTGAAATAAAGATATAAATAAATGAATAAAAATAAAATCTCAACATATCTATGCCATGAAAAGGGGCAGAAATAGTCTTTGTTGGACAATAAACAGGTCTGCAGACAGATAAACAGCCTAAACCCACAGCAGAGCAGCCACACAGCACCAGCACCAGTGCCAACACCCGCTTACAGTCTGGGATGGCCTTTACTTGAGGGGTGGAAGGACCTCAAAAGGCCCCGATCCAGTCAGTCCTGCAGCAGGCAGTGGGAGCTCATCTGGCCGCTTAGATTCTCTGGGCCAAGGGTGCGCACCACCTTGTGGGGTTTCTTACTCTAGTGCAGAACTGTACCTACACATTAAATGCTCTCTACAGCCAAACTCTGCCTTCCACATCTTTCACTACTGGTCTTAGGCAGACCTAGAAAACAACAGGAAACAAACTGACATCCCATCATACCCCCAGACTTCTGTTTCCCACGCAGACATCCCCATTACCTTCCTTGTAAGAAACTCACTCCACTGACCTCAGCGCCCTGCCCAGACTGTGTCCCCAAGTCCTAGTGTGTTAACAGGGTCTTGTAAAGCCACACCTCCAAAAGCACAAGTGGGCTCCTGCTCCCCACACCAGTTCGTTACCTCTGGCTCATCTCGCCAGTCCACATTCAGTTCCTGATCAAAGCCCTGCAGAGTCAGCCCCAGGCCTCTTCGACCCTTCTGATTAGAGGCTTCAACGATGTCCTTCCGACCCTGGCTGAATTTACCCAATCCTTCCCCTTCCTTGAAGCCCATCTTGGCCTGAAAAAGACAACAGAGAAAAATTAATTTAGTGCAACAGACACTTCTTTAGCCCCTGTCACATGGCAGACTCTGTGCTAAGTCTGAGAAATACAGATGAGTAAGGCCTCAGTTTGTCTCCTCGCCTAATGAAGGCAGCCGCATAAATAACTGCAGGGTAACCATGGGCCCAGTGACTCTCTACGCTAGGGGTCAAAGTCTAGGACAATCAGAAGCTGGATAAATGAGAAAGGTCCACATACCGGAGCTGTAATTAAAAGCAGAAGTACTTAATGAATCTCATTGGACATTTGCACAACTCACCCTTCCAGCTAATTTGTCTGATTAACTGAAAAGTAGATCCAGAGGAGAGCTGATAGACCATAATTTAAAATGGAACAGCTTCAAGCAGTAACTTCTACCTTATCCTCAGCTAGTCAAACAGGTTCACTATGTGAGGACAATGACAGCTTGCAAGACCCACTTAATCAAGAGACTAACTGAAAACTTTGCTTCCTGTTAAACGTGGGTATGGAAAGTACAATAATATCCTAGGACAGGGCCAGGGATTTAGCTCAGTGGTTCTGGAGTCTGCCTTGAAAGTACAAGGTCCCAAGTTCAATCCCCCCCCGGCCCCCCAAAAGATCCTAGGACAGAAACTCTACGTTAAATGTTGCATGCAGCAACTCTGCCTGTAATCCCAGCATTCTGGAAGACCGAGGCAGGAAGATTACAAATTCAAGCCCAGTCGGGACAAACTCAGTGACTTGGTGAAACCCTGTCTCAAAAAACAAACTGGGCCAGGGATTTAATTCAGTGGTCCCGCTGCCTGCCTTGCAAGCACATGGTCCCAAGTTCGATCCCCGGTACAAAAAAAAAAAAAGAGTAAAGACAAACAAACAAACAAAAAAATCAGGAGTGATGTAGCTCAGTGAGAAAGTCCTGGGTTCAATTACTGGCACTGGGAAAAAAAAGTTACAACTTTCAATAAGCTCAATCTGGACTGCAGTGACCCTACTAGACTCATCCCGATACTCCAAAGATCAAAGACCCAATCTCAAACCACAGATTCTGATCTCATAAAAGAACTCCAATCCAAGAACTCCAATCCAAGTAAGAGCCAGTGCCCTCTGAAAGCAGCTGTGCCAGCTCCAGAGCTGGATGGAATCCTTCCTCCAGGTCAAACAGGCTGAGTGTGTCACAAGCCTTGAGCCCCCAAATCCAATGGTCCCCAAACTAGAATTTTGACCTGTGACTTCGGCAGTGCCAGTTCTCTTTCTTAAACAAGTCCCACAGGAAACGAAGCCATCACTATGACATTTCTGAGGGCAAAGAGACAGCCGCCGAGGGCTTCACTGACCTCTACACACAGTGAGCTCTGACGAGCAAGTGAGGGCTTCCTGTCCAGCTCCTTCTCTCACACAGCAGTGGGGAGGGACACTGGGAAAGGGAATCGGGCCAGGCTACTCCCCTTTATTTTAGGCACCTAAGTGTGAAAAGGAGTTCAGCTGCTTTTTTTTTTTTTTTTGGGTACCAGGGATCGAACTCAGGACCTTGCACTTGTGAGGCAGGCTTCGGAACCACTGAGCTAAATCCCCCCGGCCGGCTGGCCCCAGCTGCTTGTTTTGAGATTACTCAGTAAAGCAAAACTCACAGCAGGAACCCTTTTTATATGCTGACATGGGCCATGTTTAGGGGTTTAGGGAAGTAGATTCTCAAGGCTTACAATAGTGATTCATCAGTGGGGATCCCAAAGGGTGACCTGCCAAATCTCAGCAGCTGGAAAGGAGAGGAAACACTCATGCCCTAGCTCTTCCTTTTTCCATCACAATACAAACTGCCCTCTCTGGCCAGGGATTTAGCTCAGTGGTTTCGCCGCGCAAGCACAAGGACCGAGTTCAATCCCCGCTACAAAACAAAAACAAACAAACAAACTGCCCTCTCTCACTCCATGGGGGCAGCCTTGGAAATCGGGTCTGAGCACTGACGTACCATGAGCTTCTGGGAGACACTGTTGTACATGGAGTAGCGAGAAGACGTCCCTTCCACAAGCGAGTCTGCTTTGAATGTATCATCAAAAGAGTCAGAGCTGCGTGGCTTCCCTTCATTCTCACTGTCAGACTCACTAAGGCTTGTCACAGAAACTGAAAAAGAAAAGAGGGAAATGTGTGGGTGAGTTCATGGCACGGAAAAGCCTCTAGGAGTCCAAGCTTCATTTATTCAATTAGTCTCCAGTACGGGCATGGCCCACATAAGTTCATTAAATGACTCAGGGTCAAATCTACTCTCTACCTACGACTAACTGCAATCTTGGGCCAAGCACTGAAAGTTCCAGAGAGTACTTGACACAATGAGAGCTCTCTGCCCTTTCAATTTCTTCCACATCAAAAGTGGGATGGTAAGGCCTACTACTTCATAGCGCTCCTGAAAGACTAAATGAAATCATGTTTTGAAAGTACTGTATATTGTCAAACACAAAGTGTACTTGTAGAAGCTACACTGTCATTTCTGCCACTGTTTATTATTTAACAGTGATTCCCAAACATTAACACCAAGCATTTTCAATGATACAATCGGCAGAGTACCTGCTTCTGACTGTTTAATCCCTTAACTAGTTCTTTCCTTTCAAAGTCTTTCAAACTTAGAGGCAACAGAGTGGTCTACACTGCAGCCCCAGAGAAAGCAGGCTCAAAGGAAAGAAGTGGAGAAGAACAAGAGGAAAGAGAAGCTGGGCATGGTAACACATGTCTGTAATCCCAGCACTTGAGTGGCTGAGGGAGGAGGATCTCCATCAAGTTCAAGACCAATCTGGGCTATATAGTGAGTTGAAGGCTAGCCTCAATTGTAAAGCAAGGCCCTGTCTGAAAAACCAAAATAATAAACACACAGAGGAAAGAGGACAGGGGAGGGGGAAAGCATGGGAAAGAGAAAAAAAAAGAACAAGGATGTGAGTAGAACTCTAAAACAACCACCGTGTGAAGCAGGTCAGACTGAGTAACTTAAACTGTCACCTTCACTGTCCACGACCTGTCAAAGGGCTCCTACTGGGACCACCTGAGCAGTTTCTAGAAGGGGTGGTGTCTGTTACTTTGTCTTGCTGAGACAAAATACCCAACACCCAAAGTTGAGGGAGGAAAAGTCTATTTAGCTCACAGTCTTGTAGAGGATTCAGTCCATAATCCATAATCAGCTGGCTCCAAGACAGAACAGCACATGTTGGAAGGGCGTCACAGAGGAGAAACAGTTCAATGTGGGAAAAGACAGCAAAAGCAACAAGGGGAGGGACCTTAGGGTGTCTTTCTGCCCCTTTTATCTTATCCAGACTACTTAGGGCAGGTGGCACTCACACCCTTAATCCGGTGCCCTTGAGCCTAGATTGCACCGTGAATCAATCCCAGAGTCACACACTAGATTCAGCCACCTCTGAAAAAGCCCCACCTGTGACAGCATGAGGCTTTGGGGGGACATCTAGGCACAGCCATAATGGGTGAGAGTACCTGTCCCAATGTCAAAGTGAGATGGTCCTCAGTCTGGACAGTCACTGTGACCAGCTTTCTCTCCCTCATTAGATATATCAACCTATATTACCTGACAGCAATTGCAACCCAGGGCAATTTCATTCAGGGAGTTCCTTGAACAAACCCACCTGAAATTGGAAACAGACCATCTCAAAACTTTGGTCAACACTGTCTCACATCCACATGAAAAATAGTATAAATTGCTAACCAGGAAGAATGCAGAACAGGAAATAATGGTAGGGATGTTATCAGACAGAGCACCAAGACATACTGTCAAAAAATCATAAAAGTGGGCCGGGGATTTAGCTCAGTGGTTTC